CAGCAGTACAGTAGTAGTAGTAGTAGTAGTTGTTGTTGTTGTTGCTGCTGTTGTTGCAGTAGTAGTAGTAGTCGTCGTCGTCGTCGTAACAATACTACTACTGGTAAATTGTGCTAACCGTTAACCATAACAATAATAACATTAAAAGTAGTACTAATAGTAAGAATAGGAGAAATGGCCTTGGCAATACTTGTAGCACTAGTCGTAGTCATAATAATGGTAATACTCATATTAAGAACTGTAATAAAAGCAACACTATAGAACTCGTGTTATGCATCTGGAAGCAGAGGGGCATTTTTCTATCGACCGGATGCGAATTAACTTAGTGACGAGAAAAAACTGTGTGAACCGAGGGGGGGTTGCATGCAAGGGTGGCCACGATTTCGACTTCAAGCTCGCACAAGGCAGGCAAGGCTTCACAGCAAGTCTAGGTAACCTTCATCTGCGATTAGCTCGCATACAGACAGGATGATATAGAGCGATCTGAGGTCCTGCCTATGCTCGCCAGGCGCGCTACCAGCGCTTCGTGGAAGACGGCACCCGCAACCAGAGCGCAGAGTGACAGGAGGACGCAAACCTCACGCAACAGCTTTGCAAGAAGGCTCGCAAGGCTTAGCAGCACTACGCAAATCTACACAACACATCATGCACAGCCCTTAGGCCACAGGTTTTGCCGTCACGCCCTTATCCAAAACTGCACTCATCATGTTCACCTGAAAGCCCGCAACACTAGAGCCCGGTCTTCTTCAAAAGCAGGCCTTGCAGCACAGCCCGCAGCAGCAGCCATGGTCAGACCTCCTGTGCAGCTGGGTGGGGATGTGGCACATCTGCTGTTGAAGCGGTCATGTTCGGCTTGTGTCTTACTCACGTTTACGAGTGGAGGCCGTTGCAATGGGATGTTGCTGATAGCCGTGAGCACTGGAATAAGCCTTGAACCTCCAGGCTTGCTATTTCCAGTGGGACTGAATACCTTGCTGTTTAGACCAGCGTTACCACGTCTTCAACACCACCGATGAGAATTGGAAAGCCTCAGAACCCTGGGCCCTAAGCCAAAGCGGGAAAGTCTCAGGCCTCCCGGTCTCGCCCACGAGGGCGCGGCACTCCGTCTCGGAATCGCTGTCCAGGTCCGAGGTGAGGCTTTCATCCATGCTCCGAGTCTCCGAGTTTGGGTTTGAAATCCAAGGCCTTTGGGCTGCAATACGAATTCGAGTTGGGCTGCAATACCAATTCGAAAAAAATAGAAGCGCACCACTTCTACACACAGGTATATGAAGATTTCCCCATCTACTTGCTTCTGCTCGCTCAAGTTTACTTTCGGGTCGCTAGGTAAACTGATTTGGTTCCGACATGGAAGGTGCATGTTGACAGGAACTCGAAGGTCAACAGCTATTCACCGAGTCGAATGACTGCACGCCACCACGCGAAGCCATGCTACACACTTGACCTGCCAAAAACAGGCCGCAAGGTGGCACTTGCACGGCTCCTTCCACCAACAAAGCTGCCGAAAGTTGCTTCATGACATCCCGGCTTTCTTGCAGCAGGCCCTTTTCAAGCGCCGGCAACCCCACACGGCACACGCAAAAGCGATCCTTCTCCTGCAGCAGCAAGCCTTGGCAACTGTTCAACTTGAAGGTTGAAAAAACAACAACGATCCTTCTAGGGCAGTGACGCTGCTGACAAGCCTTCCCGCTGTCCGTGGAGTCTGTGGGGCTGACCACAAAAAGTAATCTTGACCCCAATGTCTGAACCCCAAAATCGGAGTGGACGGTCTCTCACATCCGAGGAGCTGCGTCCATCACTACGCCACCGAAGCTTCCCGGCCACCATCCTTCGTGTGAGGATTCAATTAATGGTTCGGACTGTACGGGGCGAGGCAGACGACAGGTCAAAAGCAATCTTCCCATGTGACTGCAACAGACAAACAGCAAATCAGCAGTCATCTGCTTGATCCACTTGTTTCAGCAGAATATCAAGGGAAGGATTACTTGTCCAACATGGCAATTCTGGATTCCGTTTCCAACCTACGAGTCGCACAGCGCACAAAGACCAGGAAGATTCAGGAGCTCAGGATAATGCAGCAGCGCAGAGTTGCAGTCTATGTGATGGTCTTTCGTCACGTGACGAAAGACGCTGATGCCCTCAGTGTTGCATCGGACCGAAAGCTAATCATCCCAATCCTGTGGTAAATGCAGTACAAACTGTCGCAACATCGGCTCAATGCATTGCGACTTGTTTTACTGTTTTCGACCCCCAGACCCTCCGAATCAAAAAACCGCGGTCCACTACCCGGCCAAAGCACGGTGCCGCTGTCAGTGTCGCGGCACGCGGAGTCCAAAGGAGGAGGGAAGCATCTGTGGTGCCTCAGTCTTTCGACATTCCCCTTGCCACACAGGACCCCCATCTGCCGCTAGAACTGACCCGTCCGGCCCGGACATTACACTCATTACACAGATTTACAGAGCCAGCAACACCTGAATCCGTAACGACAATTATTCCCTACTCCCTCTTCCCAGCCAGGGCGCTTCCCGCCAGCCGGTTCCGCGCCCCGCGCGCAGTGGGGTCCCAAGCCAATGCAACGACCGTGTTACGTTGCCTCTGCAGAATTCGTATACAATAAGTATATAGAAGACGGAACTGAGGACCTACCGGTTCTAGTGAAAGTGTCCTCTGGCAGAATAGATTCTGTTGGGTCTAGAACTGAGTCAACATCAAACCAGAAAGTCGGGAAAGCGTGCCGCCCGGCCGCAAGACATGCAGCTTGGCTTAGCTTAGATGGCCCGCTGGGGAGGCAGACGTCATGTCAGAAAAGAGTCTGTAGACTAATGGGTCGGTCGGTAGGTATTCCGCAGCGCAGAAAAGAATGAAGATGTAAACATCTGTAGACAACCTGCCCCAAGCTTGAGGCGAACTTGTTCCGCATAGGGCTTATGTGGTGAGGCGACAGGCCCTCTGTGCAAAACTTGTGCGACGAGAGCGAGCGAGAGAGAGAGAG